CGGGTTTACGCCATTCTCCTGCCTCAGCCTCCCAAGTAGCTGGGACTACAGGCGCCGCCACCTCGCCCAGCTAGTTTTTTGTATTTTTTTTAGTAGAGATGGGGTTTCACTGTGTTAGCCAGGATGGTCTCGATCTCCTGACCTCGTGATCCACCCGTCTCAACCTCCCAAAGTGCTGGGATTACAGGCTTGAGCCACCGCGCCCAGCCTAAGCAGACTTTTTTTTTTAAAGCTCCAGATCCAGTTGTATGATAATTAGCTGCAGTATTCTATCTGTTCCTCATTGTTTTTTTGTTGTTGTTGTTGTTGTTTTAGAGATAGGTCTTACTCTGTCACCCAGACTGGAGTGCTCTGATGCCATTTTGGCTCACTGCAGCGTCGACCTCCTGAGCTCAAGCAATCCTTTCTCCTCAACTTCTCAAGTAGATGGGACTACAGGCACGCATCACCATGCCTAGCTGATTTTTTAAATTTTTTGTAGAGACTGTCTTGCTATGTTGCCCAGGCTGGTCTCGAACTCCTGGGCTCGAGTGAGCCTCCTGCCTTGGCCTCCCGAAGTGTTGGATTAGAGGCGTGAGCCACTGTGCCTGGCCTGTCTCCCTGTCATTGTTAAGGTGATTCTTTGTTTGTAGAAATGAGTGGAGGAGAATATGAACAATAATATAACTTAATCTTTTTTTTTCAAATGCTGTTGTTTCTTTACAAGAATTAAAAACTGCAATGAGAAGGAGACCTTTATTCTGTAATAACACAGTTTCTTCTGTGCCACTGTTAAACTGCTGCTCTTATTGTCATGAACTGAGGCTTGACAACTCTGGTTTCTCTTCCTCCAGTGGCCAATACGACATGGAATCATTGAAGACTGGGATCTTATGGAAAGGTTCATGGAGCAAGTGGTTTTTAAATATCTTCGAGCTGAACCTGAGGACCATTATTTTTTAATGGTGAGTAACTGGAACTAAGAGGAATATATTCCTGTAAGTTCCAAATTGCTTAGATTTGAAACTGAAGATATTCTTTTCTAGGGTGTTTTAAATTTCTTCTAAAGATATGTGCATGAATCAGGCTGCTTTTTTGAAAATACTGGAAAGCTCAATAAAAATGTTCAGAACAAAAGGGGCTTGTTAGCTCACCAAACAGGAAGCCCAAGTGAGGCAGCTCTGGGGCGTTGTTTTAGCAGCTCAGTGATGGCATTGCACATGCAACCTAGGGCACAGCTTGAGCTCTTCTGTTTGTTCCCTTTGGGTCCCAGGGTGGCTGCCAAATTCCCAGATCACCTCTTTGGACATTTCCATACAGAGATAGAAGATTTTCCTTTCACTTTTTAAGAATTTAGAGACCCTTTCCCAGAAACCTTCCCAGCAGATTTGCCCCATCTGCCTATGCCTAACCTGGTTAGAGCAGTAGGAATGGATTTACTGTGACTGGTTTAGATTCATGAAGACTTTCTCCTTGGGGCGGGGACCAGGAGCACCTGTCTGATGTTCTGGACCCTGGAGGAGGGTAAGTAACTAAACAGGCCTCCAAAAGCAAGGACAATAGAAGGAGGAATGGATTTGGATAAACCAACTACCTGCTTTAGTTTTCCTGAGACATAGCAAGATGATTGTAATTATTGCCACTTATAGCAGAGGAAACCAGGTCAAGATGTTATTTTTTTCTAGGGTTCAAATGTTACTGTAAAATATAACTGAACTGAGTTATGGGCCCTAATTATGATACTTAATTGATTTCATTCAGATGAAATGAAACATCACAGATAAATGAGAAGAAATATCTCCTGGTTCTCTAGTGGTTCTACTCAGCATTACATGTTTTCTTCTGTGAGATGCTCTTTTCAAGTTAAAATTAATTGCATGTACAGAATGCTTGCTTTATAGAGGGCAGTTTCATGTGACGTCAGCTGCATATTAAATCTACATAGTTTAGGTTTGGATTTTTTTTCATGCAAGTGCATTGTCAAATGGTCCCAGATCCAATTATAAAATTGTTTCTAACATTAGAATATGAAGTGTTTTTAAGAATTATCTGGTATAAGAAATATTTTAACTATAAGGCTAATAGTTAATGGAATAACTATTAAATATGGAATAACTCTATAACGAATATATATATTTAATGTATATTAAAGCTGGTCTTTGATCTTTTCTCCCTGGCTGTGTCTTCACAACTGAAATTGCCAAGTATGGCTGCTGCGTTTCACAGGCCACTCTGTTTTCTCTGTACATCCACAGTAGTTTTATTTTATTTTGCTGTTTTGCTTTGTATTTTATTTTTCTAGAAATGGGATCTTGCTCTGTTGTCCAGGCTGGAGTTCTGTGGCACAATCCTATCCAGTCACTGCAGCCTCAGACCCTGGGCTCAGTTGATCCTCCTGCTTCAACCTGCTGAGTAGCTGGGACCACAGGTAGAAACCACTAGCCTGGCTAATTTTTAAACATTTTTTGTGGAGACGGGGTCTCGCTATGTTGTCCAGGCTGGCCTCAAACTCCCAGGCTTAAGTGATTCTCCCACCTTAGCCTCACAAAGTGTTGAGATTATAGGCATGAGCCACCATGCCCGGCCCACAGTGGTTTATGTGGAACAAATGGAGCCAATAAACTGACTGTGTGTGAGTGGCTTTGTCTTTACAGCCAAAACAAATCACAGATTCCCACCTGTCAGATTTGGCATTTTTCCTTCTCTAGCATATCACATCAACTACCTGTTGGATAGGGTTTTAGGAGCAGGCACGGAGCCCAGCTGCTTCCTTCTGTCTACTTCAGCTTCCCGTGCCAGGAGTTCTTGCTTTACTTAGAGGGACATCTAATCTCAGGCATGTGGAGCAAATACGGACCACCACACAGCTCACAAGAATTTTTATTAAAGGGGATTCTTTTTGTGATTTAGCTGGCATATATGAGATAGTAAAACATAACCACTTGCCAGGATGGAATTGGAGAGGTTTGGTGTGAACATAGAAAAGGCCATTTGCTAAAAATGGGTACCTGCAATGAATGTTCAAAAACAATCAAGTTTATTATTAAAAAGATAAGAAAATACTGTATTACATGTGTTGTGCTTTGAATTCTGCAAGTCATTTTGTTGCATGTCGTGGTTGAGGAAGTGGTGAGAATGGTAAATTTCCTTCAGGTATATGTCCTTAACCGTGTGTTGATGGAATAAAGGGGAGTGAACCAGGTGGAAAGATTTAAGGCCAAGCCATCAAAGTGAATTGAAGACATTAAGAGAGTCTAAGAGGCCCAAATGATGGACCCCCAGGAGCTCACAGAATTATCCTTTCTAACAGCCTTGCCCAGTCATCTGAACATGCAGAGAGAATGACCTCCTTGCCACTGGCTGTTTTCAAGGAGGTGCAGAGACAGCTTACACTGGTTATGCGGACTGAGCACACGGCACCTGGGAACTCCGCTCTTCCCCAATACTGCATTGCCCAAAGCTCAGAACACACTCAGAGATGTCAAAGAGATGCAGTGCTCCTGAGTGGAAATTGGATTAGAACTTCAGAAGGGATTTTCAAACTTTTTGAATATAAATCCTGCAAGAGCAAACAAGCAGCACATGCAGACGACCAGCAGTGAGAGGGCGTGGTGACTCTGAGGACCTGACTGGGTTAGGGTGATTAGAGCAGGGGAGTGTGAAGAGAGGAGGTCAGGCAACCTTTGTGCGATGTAGACAGTGAGCCGCGAGGCCGGTTTTGTGTTTTAGGGAGACTTTATGGGCAGGCACCTCTGGCACACAGAGTCTAGAAGATGACCCCATGTGAGGTAACAGGTGCCTGTGAGGAGGGCGTACGGTGAGAATGGCAGGAGTGGGTGGAGGGGAGTTCTGTCATTTGCGAGGTTCTTAAAATTATGTAAGGGGATATGTATAGTCGAAACCACCCATGAAAATCCCTCAGGAAGGGCCCGTTTATACAGCTCTGAGTCAGTGGAGAGAAAATGGATTTTCCCTCAGCATAGAGGAACTTTCTTCTGCACCAGCTGGGGTGGTTGACTTACATTTAGGAGGACAGTGTGGTGTGTGGAAGCACATATGGTTCATTAGGTTGCCCTCAGTCCAGCACTTTGCTCCCAGTCCCAGTACGTTGAAGCTGAGACCACCTGAGAGCAGTTGGACTCCCAGAGCCAGTACTCATTAAGGAGCCCGGGGCAGACATCGTATTACTCATGTAGTTATTTCACCTGCTCTCATATTTGGCCTCATTGTTCTGGCTTGTACCCTCACTAGCTTTTGTATGCTGTTGTGTTTTTGGAGCATGTACAGTTGGTTGGGGTAAGTTATATATAGTTAGCAGAGATAAACAGGAGGTAGACTTGGTGGGTCTTAGTGATGAGAATTGGTAGCAGTTAAGAGAAATCTAGGCTGACTCAGATTTTGAGATGGGGCAGTGCATGGATGATAATGTGATTGGTTAAGATGGGAAACATGAGAAGAAACTCACTTGAGGGAGGGAGGAGGAAGAAGGAGAGTTTGGTTTTGTACATGCTGAGGTCTAAGGGTCTAACTGGGCTGCACAGGTAAAGAAGCCGAGGAACAGCCAGCTCCAAGCTGCAGGTGTTGATGTAGGAGTCAGTAGCGTTCACGTGTTGATTGTTGATGGAAAATTAACTCTGATTACTAAAGATAAAACATACCATCCTTGGTATTTTAGAGATGAATGTACGAATATATGATCATTTTGAGATCTCTAGGTAAAGTTAGTGCTCTGTGAAATCATTTTCTTCATGAACCTGGTGAAATTAAAAAATGTTAGCCATGGCAGTACCCTACATCTGAATCACAATTGCGTTATGTCCTGACTTACTCTAGTTTCCTTTCTGAATTCTTGAGAATGGTTAGACCTGCCTTGTGCACTTCACTAACCAGTGTAGACCTAGCCAGTGTAGACCTAGCCAGTGTAGAGGTCAGCTTTCTTGGATTTGCTAAGCCACCTCCTGCACGTACTTTCCAGCTTCCAGTATATGGTCGCCTCCTCTCCTATTCTCTCTTCCTTGAGGATTTGTATTTTAAAAAATGTTTCTTTACTGTAGTTTTAGAGGGGCATGAAGGTGGAGTAATATTAGATACATGTGTTCAATTTTCTGTCTTTATCCAGAAATATGGGTAGGTTTTATGATAGTCATTATTCATTTTTAAGTCAATACCAGGTGATAATTTTACCATTGTTATGTATAAAAATGTTTATGTAGCTTGCATTCATTGATGCTTTGATCATATGCTTCTATATTTAAAAAAACCAGATTATTCTCTTTCTCTTCTTCTCACTGTTGCACTTGACTAGTCTTAAAGAGAGGAAATCCTCCAGAAAAACTGGACATCTCCTATTTAGATCTTGTTATAAATAATAGTTTGAGAAAATTTTAATTACATTTGTCTCCTAAAGGAATAATTACAACATCAATAATGGTGGATAGAGATGAAATGGGAGATTAAGGAAGATGGAGGGTTTGTGATTGTGGTCCTCAGAATCTATAAGGACATGGCCTGAATAATGTCGATTTTGACTCAAGAACCAGGAGAACGTCGTTATATTGTAAATGTTCCCTTAAATGGAAGTACATAGATTTTAATTCTTCAAAGATGGTGAACTGTTTTTGGCAGCAAGTAATAGAAGTATAAAAGCAGTAGTTTAAAAAAGTTACAGTTTTATTTTTCTTAAATAAATTTGTAGCAGAGTCCAGTGCTGATACGGCAGCTCTCTGGTGTTGCTAAGGATCTCTGTACTCTAGTGTCTCGAATATATGGCTTTCATTCTAAGGATGCCTCATGATCACAAGTTGATTACTGCAGCTCCAACTGTCGCCTCTGTGTTGCACGAAGGAAGAGGGTGTTAAGAGCAGGAGGCAAGTCTACTCAGCTTTGTAAGGAGCTTTCTTGGCAACCATATTCCAGCTTTTGTGTCTTACTGGCCAGAACTTACTCACTTAGTCATCCCTGTCCA